CCGCGGCCCGCCTGCCAGCCGCTCTCCCGACGCCTCCGGTTCCCCGTGAGCCTCCCGGGGGCGGGCAGGCTGGGATGCTGCTGGCCCCATGGCCCCCATCCCCAGAGGACGGCCCTGCGCAGCTCTGCCTCCCCACGCCAAAGCCTGGCTGTTGTCTCACTCCCGTGATCCAAAGGGCGTGATTTACAGACAGCCCAGAGCATCACCCAGCTCCCCAGCTGGACTAGGGCTATATAAATAACACTGGCCTTGGATGCTGAACCTAGGCACAGTGAGACCCTGAGCTGCCCACAGCTCACCCAGCCCCTTGTTCGGTCACCACGATCACCCACAGCACCCACATTGGGCGATGCCCCTTCCCTCCCATGGGAAACCTCTTCCTGCCAGGGTGGGGACTCTGGGGACAGCACTGGTGTCATGGGGGCATGGAAGAGGATGGGTCCGCGTCCCACCACAGCTGCCTGCGGGCGGGCACCCACCCCACTCAATGCCAGCAACAAATTCCTGGCCGCCCTTGCCAGCCGTGCCGTGCCTCTGTGTTTATGCAACGGCAGGAGCCGGCAGAACTAAGCACTTTTTGTTTTTCCCTTTTTTGAGAACAAGGAGTTTTAATTCCCACCAAACAATGTTCTTTTTCCAGCAAGCTTAAAATAAGCCTTTTTGGCCCAGGCATCTCTGGAGCCACTCACGCTCTGCACGGGCCTTTGTGCAAATATGGATGTGAACGTCGTGCCGCTGACTCGGCCGGGGGCTACCTGCCGGGGGGGTGGCAGGGGGATGTGGGAGGGCCCTGTGCTGGACCCTCATGACAATGGCCCTGGCCCTAGCCCTCCTCCCTGCCGTGGCATGGAGGTGGCTCTGGCAAGACCAGCTCAGCGGAGCATGCTTACGTGTGATGAGTGGAAAATGCTCACGCAGAGATAGGAGGTGCCATGGCTGTGCCGGAGCCTCCCGCTGGCCCTGTCTGCCTGCCCCACGGGTGGGTGTGTGCTCAAGTGTGCCAGCGCCTCACAAACCCCACACAGGATCCAGGCTCTGGAGCAGCCAGGTGCCCAGAGAAGCGGCCATACCCTGCAGTGTGGCACAGGCAGTGATGCTGCCCACACCCACTGTGGGTGGAGGGGACTGCAAAGCCCGCACCAATGGCTCCAGTGCCAGCAGAGACATTTCTGCTTGTGAAAAAAGGCAAAAAACTATTTTCTGCCAGGATTGGAACTGTGGTCTGATTCCCCTTATTCCTTTACCTGCATCGTATGCTCTGACACATGCTCCTTGGCCAGCGCATCAGTCTCAATGAGCACGGCATGGCACAGTCATCCTGCATCCCTCTACCCTGGGAGCTCGGGCTTGGCTGGGGGCACAGCAGCGCATTTAATGATGGTTACCTTGGGAAATACGCACCTGAGTTTACTCAGTGCAGGCAGAGCTGATCTTCACGGCCCCTCCTGCTCTGTTTGGGGACCTGTTCCCACTCTTCAGGCTCTGCTTTCCACTCAAGTTTACTGTGGCAGTGGGGCAATGAGGTGAGGAGGTAGCAGGGATGGGCATGTACACCAAAACTCGAAAGCGCGTCTCCTCTCCCAGGGAGTCATGTGGAGGTTTCCAGCCTTTTCCAGCCACCCACTCCCTCACCTCCCACCATGGGGCTGACCCCAGCACACCCGGCTCCCACAGGGACGACACTGCAGCTGGCATGGGCACACAGAGCCCACCGGCCGCCCCGTGCCATTACCCAGCTGCCTGTGCACCCCAGCCCCATCCCTCGCGTGAGGCTGGTGTGGAAAAGCCACCCACCCCGCCTCTTCCAGCTTATCAAATTTGGCCATGTCTGAAAAGCCCTGGTTTCCTTTTCACCAAAAAAGATCAAAACTGGGTAATTGGCTGCTGGCGCAGATGCCTCTGAGCCTCTCTCATGTGTAAACAGCATTGCCGAGCGCTGACACAACACAGGCGGCTGCGGCACACGCAGGCGGTCAGCACCCTCCAGGCGCCCCAGGCCCGGGGATGCTCCCTGGCCCTTCTTGGGGGGGTGAAATCTCTGGGGTGCAGGCAGAGGCTGGCTCAGCACCCCAGAAAAGGCTGGTGGTGGAGGGCCAGGCACTGCCGTCCTGCCCGCTGCAGCAAAGGCAGGTGGCTGCAGGGCTCCTGCAGTGGCCAGGTCCCCAAGGTGACAAAAGGGACACTCTGTGCTCAGTGCACAGCATCAGACCTCACCCAAGAGGATGGCAAAGTCCCCAGATCACTGTGCCGAGACTGTCCTTGGGGATGGAAATGGAGTCTGAGGTTCCCGTGTAGATTGGTGCAGCCAGGCAGTGTTTACTGCTGCATCCCAGGGATGGTGGTGCTGGGAGGGGGGCAGTTGGGGTACGGTGTTTTACCTTTACCTGGGGTTTTTTTTAGAGGCACAGTTCATGGACTAGGAAAACAAGGTGGAAATTTCCCACCACCCATAAGGGCATTCAAAGTCCTGGGGATGTACAGTGAGTCGCAAAAGCTAGGAGGCAGAAAGGGGAGGCAGAAAACACTGGAGAGAGGTGTAACAGCCCTCCCAGCACCACTGGCCCCCAGGATGGAGGGAAGATTGGAGGAGAGAAGGATGGAAGGGAGGGAAGGATGAAGGAGAGGGAAGAGGGATGGAGGGGAGGAGGGATGAAGGGATGAAGGGAGGGATAAATTGGAGGAGGGATGGAGGGGAGGAGGGATGGAGGGAGGGGAAGCTGCGGAGGAGGGATGCAGAGGGAAGGACGGAGGGCTGGCGGTGCGGTTGGGTGGAGGACAGCACCATCGTGTGGCACAGCGAGTGCCTGGCCGCGGGGACAGTCCAGGGCCAGCCCCCTCCCGAGAGAGGTCCCTTCTGCCCCGTCCCTGGGACGGGGCGTAACAGCTGGCACCTCCCGTGCCTCAGTTTCCCCCTTCGCTGCACCCAGTGCTTGGCTCTGGGAATACAGAGCAGCACAGCATGGGCAGGGGCAGCCCCCCCCATCACTAACATCCACCACCCTGCACCTCTTGGGTCCAACTTCCAGGTCAGCTGTGAGCAGAGCTGGCATGTCCCCAGTGCCAGGGCTTGGGGACAGGTTTGAGGTCAGCAGGAGGGAAGTGATTGGGGACAGACAGACCAGGAGTGCAGGAAGAGGGGACCGGCCACAGCCACAGCCGCCGGGGGCCCCAGCCGCAGGTGGAGCCAGCTCCCAAGCAGGCGGCGGGTGGCCCAGTCCCAGACCACGCTGGCCCCCAGCCCCGCCGGCGCCTGGCACCTTGGGGACCGGACACACCTCCGTCGCAGCGGAGCTGAGGGCTGGGGCTTTCCCTTTTTAGCTCCCCAGCTCACCAGTGCCAGCCACACTGCAGGACGGCGGACGGCAGCCCCTCCGCGGCCATGGAGCGGGCTCCAAACGTGGTAGGTGACTGCGGGGTGGCTCAGAGCTGGCTCCTCGTTTTGCTTCTTTAATATCATTATTTGCACACTTGTTTGCGGGTGGCTACGTGGGTTTGTTTGCTTTGGAGATGCACGTCATGGCCTGCCAGGCCCATCGCTCCCATGCCCGGCACAGCAAGGATGGAATGGCTTTGGAGAGCAAAGTGGTGACAGTCCCACCGGACGGTCCGGCACCGGAGAGGGAAAACAGCCCTGGCCGAGCAGTCCCTGCCCTGCGGGAAGGGCTGCGGGACAGCGGGAAGGACTGCGGGAGGGCAGGCAGGGCTGCAGGACAGTGGGCAGGGTGCGGGGCTGCCTGCAGGGACATGAATAGCAGGGAGCAGGACTACAAAAAGCAACTTTGTTCGCCACTGGGCAGCCTGCCGGGTGTCAGCACACCGGAGTCTGGCCCTGTGAGGTCAGAGGGAGAAGGAAAGGAAAAAGCATCTTTCTTTTCTCTCTCACTGTCCTCGCAGCACAGAGGGAGGGAGAGGAGGGTTTGAATAAAGATGCCATTCTTGACTGTCCCATCCCTAAAGCTCCTTTTAAAGCAGAGGCTGCCCAGGTACAGCCTGAGCCAAGGGTGTACCCATCCCTCCCAGCACACAGCCACCTCGGGGTGGGGAAGGGACAGGGCACAGCTCGGGTAGGAGCACTTTGGGCATTGCCAATTGCCAGCCACAACCTGGGTGAGGGGCATTGTAGCCACACACATCGGCTGGGGCTGGGGCTGGGGTGCCATGCCAAAGTCAGCGTGGTCCTGCCATGGCCCTGTGACGCATGGGAGGTGGGAGAGCTCCCCTTCCACACTAGCCCTGCAGTCTGGGTAGCCATGGACCATCCTCCTTCCTCCTCAGCTTCTCCTCTGCATCTTCACCTTTGCCATGGTCCTGGTTCCTGAAGCAAAGGACCAAAGCAAGGCAGCAAAGGGCAGGAGAAGGGGCCCAACCCGGCCCCCCACGGCCACTCCTGCCCTGGCCTGGGCCCCAGCCAACTCCTACAGCTCCATGGAAGACTACGAGCACAGCATTCAGGACATGGTGCACCAGCTGAGAAACAGCTCTGAGCCAGGAGACACCAAGTGCCAGGTCAACCTGAGGCTTTGGAGGTCCAACCGCAGGAGCTTGTCTCCCTGGGCCTACAGGTGAGCTTGGGGCAGGGACCTTGGGGACCTGCATGGTGGCTCCATGCCAGCAAGCGCTGTGGCGGCCACAGCTCCAGCATGACGGAGCTGAGGTGGCTACTGAGGGGTGTGATGTGATGCAGCACTCCATTTCACCCCATGGGGACATTGCCCTGCCCGTCCCCAGCCACCCACCTCCTCCCATCTCACCATCTCTCCAGACTCCTCTTGCTTTCCCTCTCCTCCAGCATAAACCATGATGCAATGCGGATCCCAGCAGACATCCCCGAGGCCCGATGCCTCTGTGCTGGCTGCATCAACCCCTTCACCATGCAAGAGGACCGCACCATGGCCAGCATTCCCATCTACAGCCAGCTGCCCGTCCGCCGGCTGCTCTGCCAGGTGCCAGGCGAGGTCGGGCACAAGCCCTCTGGGAAGAAGAAGTGTCCCAAGAAGTACCAGACAGTGATGGAGACCATTGCTGTGGGCTGCACCTGCATCTTCTGAGGTTGCAGAGCTAATGCCTGCAGCCTTGCATGGGCATCTAAGCAGCTTTGCTCTTGCTTCCTGAGCTCGCTCAGCCCAGCCAAGCGTCAGGGCAAGGAGAGCTCCTGTGCAAGGAGATGGCAGCTCCAAGAGCCCTAAAATCTCTCACAGCAAGACATCACCCTGAGCCACTCACCTCCAGGGAGGGGCGGGCTGGGGGACACAGGGAGGCAGCTGCACCCAGGTCCTGCTGGCTGGGCAGGGTCAGGCCTCCTCCCTCCCCAAAGTCCCCATTTGCTTTTGTTTGCTCCTTGGGTTCAACAGCTCTGCAAACTGCCCCAAAAGCTCCTCTCTGCCCACCCGCAAACTCCTCCACACTGGGCCAGGCAGTGTGGGGAGTGGGGGCAGTGCAGGGCAGTTTCTGAGGTCTTCAACAAATTTATCCTCAATAAAGTGCATCGCTGGCCCTCGTCTGAGCCACCCCTCGCCTCCGCCCCTCGCGCTGCCCCTCTGCCCTGCCTGCCTGGGCAGCCTTCCGGTGTGACCTTCTTGTCCCCCCAAAAACCCAGCCGAGCCCTAGGCTCAAGGAAGCCTGGACACCCCTGGAAACAGGGAGCAGCCCGCAGCAGGCACCTCTCCCTGCAAGCCAGGACCTGCCCACCCTGCACGCCTGACCCTACGGCACTGGGCCAGCGAGTGGAGCCAGGCTCCACTTGTGCATGGTCTGGGAGAGGCCCTGGGACCTCCTGTCCCTGCTGGGACCAGCCCTGCCACAGAGTTTCCCAGGGACAAAGCCAGGAAGGTGGGAGAGGATGTGGCAGGGGGCTGGCGGCCCCACA